CAGCATAGACATTCTGGTTTTCATAGGCTGAGGATTCCTCAGAGGTAGCTAAGCTGGTTAAAGAGTTAAGCACCAGAGAGAAATACACTTACTTTTTTGGTAAGTTGAAATCTCTGGTATTGGATGATGATGGCCAAAGTATTGTTCCAAAAGAAAAACAAATGTAGATGCAATTTTAGTAATAAAGGAGATTATCCTTAAATGAGAAATTTAAGGGGAAATAATATATAAGAATTCAAATCTGAAAAATACTAGTAAAATAAAGTAGTACAAAGGAATGGAGAAGAAAAACAGCCTCTTCTCATTTTTTCTGGTGGTAAGCATTTTGGATGGGCAGTGAGTGCATAATTACACAACAGTGAACGGAGACTGCAAAAAATTACCCAGCTCGACCCAGAACAAGGAAATAATAGCTTTTCTCATTCATTCTCTCTCTCACCACATACAAACATACATGCAGAGTTAAGTTCTACTAATGAGCTGGAGTAAAATGCTCCTCTCCATATTAGAAGATGCAAAACTGAACAACAGAAGAAATTGGCTGCAGGGAATCCATAGCATGGGGAAAACTCCTGCAGTTTAATAAAAATGTCAAGTAGCAGGCTAAGTAGGCCCAGTTGGCTTTTTACTCTGACCACCTGCTTGAAAAGCAGTTTTGCTTCCCATTTCATAATCCAGACTGTTGCTTTGATAATATATGTTCAGGTCATGATGAATGGCTACATGAAGGTTTTTGTTTTAAGGGGTATCTCTGCTCATTTGGGGAGACTCTATTTCTATAAGCATGTAGAAGATGATGAAGATAATGATTTTACATAATACTCTCATACTTAAAAGATTCATAATTTGCCTTTTGGGATATCCCTTCTCATGCTGTTAAATAACAAACTTAAAACCAAAATAAAATACAAACACCAGAAAGAATAATAAAATCAAAATCAGTAGTCTGAACCAGAAAGCACCAATTATACATCAGCTGTGTTCACGTAACACAATTGATCCATCTTTTGTTGCTCTAGAGTAAATGACTTACCTGATGAAGCAGGAACAGATCAGCTGAATCCCAAATGGCTCCTTATTATATGGGGAACATCTATTTTGGCTGATGGATCAGTTTCTTTTTGGGGGCTGGGCAACTTTTTGTTTACTTATAAGCAAATACATAAAAATCTGTAGGGTGCCAATTGATCTTCATGCCACCACTAGTGGTGGTGGTGGGTGATTTAACTTTCTTCCTCATCCTTTTATCCCTCTGTGGACCTGCAGAGAGGAGGACCCCCCAAATAGTAGAGACTGAATGCTCAAGAAGCTCTGCTTTTAGGGGACAAGTTTAGGTTCCCATAGCTGTGTGCAGCAACAGGAAGAGAGGGTTAATTTACGTTAGCCTTGTGTGTTTCCACAACACAGATGACCACAAGAGGTTATTTTAATTCAGCTCAGCCCTGCTTTGGGTTAAATCTAGCTTGCTGACAGGCTTTTTGAGTTTGCATGACATACTAATCCTGCCCTTGATCCAGTTAAGGGCCAATGTCACCAGTAGAAATCCTTACTCAGTTGGAAATGGCCATTTAAATATCCTTGATTCAAACCATTTAACGCTTTCAACACCAACAATTTAAATTATGCACAGGGAGTCACTCCTGCTGGCATAACATAGTTATCACATGAGCTGACACAAGTATCATTCACCAGTAATTTATGCACTGCATTTTGTGCCACTTGGGATTTTCAAACCATTTTTCAAGCGAATATGCTGTTACAATAAGCCTTGATGCAACTAGGGCATAGATTATTGTTAACAGCCTAAAGTAGTATAAAATGCTTTTGATCATTCTTGCAAGTGCTTCTTCGATTAGCCCCAGTACATTAAACTTTCTACACTGCATATTTGGTCCTTTGGGAGAAGTGCAACATTGTCTGGGGGAACAGCCAGTAGAACAGTCTATCACCATTTTACATTAATAGCAGCATGTTTACTGCAGACTATTCTGAAACTGGACATAGAGGATATGACAAATGTCATTTGTAGAGATATGTTATCAGATATGGCATTGTGCTCAGATATGGCATCTCAACCAAGCCTCCAGATGATTTCTCCAAGTTGTTAAACAGTGCAAATAACAGATGACAAAATGAACCTTAGAGCATCTCATTAGCTAATGATCATGGTGGTTTCAGCACTAGTACATGGGCACCATCTGCTGAGAGGAATCCTGTAAGTTTACTTTCTCATAAATTCAGTTCAAATCATAAATCATCCAGCAAAGTGACTAAGCCCTTTTCTATCTCAAAATGGACATGAAGATAAATTACAAAGGTTTTAAATCAGCACCATCCAATATTGTCCCTTCTATATTATCTTTAACTGGTGTTTCTTTTTTTAAATAACTTTACAAGCTTCTCTGATGTAAGAAAGACTGCCCTTGAAATAGTTGTAGATATTTATGGTTGTGCTTCTACTTTTGGAATGATTTTGAAGGGAGTAAAATTACATCACAGATTACAGTCCTTCACACAGACTTCAGTGCAAATGGAACTTAATTAGGAAATAATCTACAGGCTACTAAAGCCTTGCTCAGCTGTATTTTAGTTACCTAGGGGAACAGTGATGGAGCTATAGTCTCCTTCTCATCTCTTGCAAATGAAGAACTCAGGGTCAAGTGGGAGATCTCTAGATTGTGGCACCCTCTCATGTCAGCACATTCTTTTCAAGGAATAGAAGATATGTTTACATAAGAGCCTCAGTGCTCTTCTCCTGTAAAACTGAGGATGTTGCAAGTAATTTACAAACCACAGGAAGCAGCTTTTCTGCAAGAGGTCTTCCAGTATAAATACAACCTGATGGGGTCCTGTCACACATGGTAATTCTACAAAGCCTGGGTCTCTATACATGAAGAGGACGTACAGTGGACTGAGCAAGATTACAACGATAGTCACATTTTTAATGTTACCTTATGTAAAACAATTACTTATATGTAGAAATGTAGAAAAACAGGGAGCTTCAGAACAATTCTTCTGATGTACTAGATTATAGTTGCAGCAGTTTTGATATAAAGAAATATTTTAAAATGCATTCTTCTTCCTACAGAATAAAGCAGTCCAAACCAGAACTTTTCCTTTTAATTCCATGTAACTTAGTGTCATTTCCCCATTGGCAAAGATAATCAGATGTTATCAGTAAAGGATGCTGATTAAACAACACTGACCCCGTGCTACAAGTCACACGCCTGCTGCTATGTTTCAGGAAGACTGCCACTATATGAAGTGTTTAACTTGCCCTAATAGAATTTTCCCACAGTGATGGATGGTTTCGGAATCATCTCATCACGTTATGCCATGTCATACTAAATGAACTAAAGGTGGATTGCTTCAGGACTAGCCGATTCGCCTGTTCATTGGTGCTTACTTTAAAAACTGACAGCCCTCCATGATGAAAGCCTGGCTTATTGATCTGCTGTTCTTGTTAATCTAATATAATGAGAACATAGTAATATATTATGTATCCAAGTAGCTATCTACAAATATTCAAATATACTGGCTTACAGAGAGGGTAAAAAGAGCAAGTACTTTACTGCATTAAACAAATTCTGCATGCAGTGTGGCAAACACATTAAGGGATCGCAGCTTGAAATTCGTGCTCAAGTAGTTGATATTTCTATCATCCAAGAAGAATAGATGCACTTGCCTAATGTTTTCTTAGGGACTCATTCCATAATGCCATTACAATTGCACCAAAAACAAATCAAAACTCCATTTTTTTATCAGTCATTTTAAAATAGTTATTCCTTTGCTTTTTCTGTTCTGCATTTGGGGGAGATCTCAGTACAGAATTTTAATTTTCACTTCCAAATCAATCAAAAATCACCCATTACAATATTTGTTTTAAAATGAACAGTATGTTTCTAAACATGTGTAAAAATTAAATGTGTTTGCGCATACATATGTATATTTACAACAAAATTGCTCATGATAGATAGCAAGGTGCCACAGAGCAATGTTAGAGACTGGGACCAATAATCATAATATTGAATCCATTTACCGATAATTCCATTATTACTGCTGCCTAGAATCACTTGTATGGTGAGATGGGCAGCATATATAAATTTGAAAAATAAGTAAATAAATAAAAATTACTGGGATTTGAAGACATGATAATGGCTCCAATATTTTTCTTCCAGAATTTTCACAATTTGTGATCTATTAAAAAAAGATTCAACTAATTATAAATTATAATTTATTTTGTTATAAACAAAGTTTAAAAATATAGATAACTACATATGAAAATTTAGGCATATGGAATTATTTAAGATGCCTTCAGTAATTTAAATCAATGCTGAGTACAGTAAAATCAAAAACATAAATGCAAGATCTATTTCCACGCAAATTAACCTGATGGGAATAGGGCTAAATTTCTGCAAATTTAGAAAAATCTCTTAATTTTTTATCCTTTCTTTCCTTCATCTGATCTGAGCCAGAAATATTGAAATTTTGTTTGTTTTAGCAAATAGAGCAGGAGAATGAGTAACTAAACTCCAGTAAGAAACAATATAGAGATTGAGTGGTAGGAATATCCCCTTTCAAAGAAATGGAGGAATTTGTTTTTGGCAAACTGGTAATACCAGTTGCACAATAACCTATAGGAGAAATTGCAACTGGAAATCGGTATGGAGAGTGGCCTACAGCTATGTTCTGTTGTTCTTTTTAAACCTAAGAATTTTTAAATTGAATGATTACTTAACACAGTTTTTTTTAACTTCAGCCAGATATGCTGGAAATCTCTATAACTGATAGATTTTAGATTTAGATTTTTTTTTATCCCATCTTTATTATTTTTGTAAATAACTCAGGGTGACAAACATACCGAATACTTCTTCCTCCTCCTATTTTCCTCATAACAACCCAGAGAGGTGAGTTGGGCTCAGAGAGAGTGACTGGCCCCAAGTCAGCCAGCTGGCTTTCATGCCTAAGGCAGGACTAGAACTCCCAGTCTCCTGGTTTCCAGCCTGGTGCCTTAACCACTAGACCAAACTGGCTCCATTATATGCATTATATAACAGCTTCTTGGTCTGAGAAGGCAATATAGGAAAAGAGAGACTGTTTAATTTTAACCAACTTGATTGACCTCTTATGGAAGTACATACAATGCAATGGTACATGGCATTTATAATCTGTAACAATAAAAAGACACAGGGAAGTTATATAACATAAAGTTAAGATGTTCATTTTATCTATGTATTAAGGATCAACTGCCCTTAGAATTATAACAAACAAATGATCCTTCACTAAAAGCAACATTAGGAAAAATAACAGAAAATGCATCAGTTGTCAAAAATATCCATCATATAAGATGGAAGTTCATTTATTGCAGATGTGCACAGTTCTCAAAGCTCTCACTGCAAATGAAAATCCAGAATTCAACTTGGATTCAGAAATGAAGGAAAACTAAGGAGGGTAAATACTTCATACTTTTGCCTTTCTTTCTCGAGGGAACCTATCCCATTGGGCTCAGATATTCAGATTTGTACACACTCCAGGTTTCATTGCTTTGAAGGTATAGATCCAACTGAAGCTCTCTTTCTGTCTCTCTTTCTTCATTAATACCCATTTAGACAGTGAAAGGAAGAGAAAACAAGCTCTTCTTTGCAAATGCCAACCACTACTTTTGTTATACAGCCTTCACTGATCCTGCAACCATGAACAAAAGAGTGCCATGAACTGACACCTGGAGCCAGCACATACCAGACTTTGGGTATTAATAATACAGAGATACGTGTACATTCCTTAGTTCATCACTAAGAGTTATGCCTCTCGTATAATATATATAATAATATATGATCTTCCTAAATAAAAGTTACATTCTAAACCTGCTCTGGTGCAACAAAAAGTTAAACAATTTTGTATCTGTCACTTGAGCTCACTTACTGTGACAAGATTGTTCATAAAAACACTATAATTAGGTAGTAAATAAAGAAGAAAATGCTTCCTTGAAAAAGGAATAAACATGTATACATCCTCAAACAAGGTTACATTTCTTTTTTAAGCAGTTCTTATATGGAAATATTCCCATTACTCATTATGAAACTTGCCTTGCTCCACTTAATATACCTAAAATGAATGTTGCCCCTAGACAGGGATTATTTTTAAAAAACAAGACTCTGCTAAGCAGCTTTTAACCATCTGAAGACAGTAACAAGGTTCAGTTTGCACCCAGTCTGAATAGAATTCTCAGAATATAAATGTAAAAATATTCTGAAAGTAACATTAACCCTCTCCTTTGTAATTTTGCACAAGTCTGCAATTCTGAAGAAAACTAATTAAATATTTTCATTGATGGGAGGTACATCAGACTCTGGCAAAGTGCTGTTTTAACTGCTTAATAAGTTGCTGAGTATCCACATGCTCTGGAAAAGTTTCTTTGGACTTCTGAGCTGCTATATAGCTTCTTTGGAGATCTCCAACCTGCAGAAAGGCATGAGACCAAATGACATAGAAATGTTACTAACAGCCTTACATGCTAGATTTTATCCAGTGATTCACTTTTAAAATGTTTATATTCTAACATATATAGTAGGCACAACCCTAATTTGGCTTTAAAAAGTTCATGTCCTACTCACTTTGAGTGAGATTACTTTAAGGCATTCTACACGGGGCTGTCATTGAACACAGCTCAGATATAATGGCTGCTTAGATTGGACTAGAACTAATATATCAGATGGGCAAATTATAGAGGACCTCTGCAGTTAAAAACTAATTCATGAGTTTATTGCTTTTCTATCTCCAACCTCTTTTCCTTTTTGTCAAATCTTCTAAGTAATACACCTGAGGACAGGAATATGCCTTATCATTATTTGAAAATTGATCTAGGGACTTCTTTTTAGGCAAAGTATGGGGCAAAAATACTTCAGATACACAAACTAACAAATAGATATATATGAAACATCATATATATTAACATCCTCTCTTGTTCTGTGTACTTTTTCATAGTTTTCATGGTTTTAATAATGACTGTTTTATATGTATTTATTGGTTTTCTTTTTAATTGAGTGTTGTGCGCCACCCAGAGGCACTTTTTTGTGAGATGGGCAGCTAAACAAATATGATAAATAAATAAAATAAGTAAACAAAAAAATAAAGGGTAATGACATTACCTTTTCAGACAACACAGCAAAATTGAAATGTGGCTCATACATATGAGGTGCTATTGATGAAGCAGTCTGCAGAAACACTCTTGCCTAAAACACAGAAACAGTGTTCACCTACATATTTGTACAGGTCAAGACACCCAACACCATTACATCCCCTCTCCATCTTGGGTTCTCCCATGTTATTTTAATATAGGAACTTATCTTATACCAAGTCAGATCACTAGGTCAATAGGTCAGCCTATTTAGCTCAATATACAACACATCATGGAATAATTTAAATACATGGGGAACACTCATATTATCTGTGTTTTATTGATTTAATTGAACTGAACTTTCTGTCCTCCCCTCACACTTTCTCAAGCAGAAGCAGTATACTTTCTTTCTTTATTAACTTCAATATTTCCTACACATTATGTAATGTTATTATTCTTATTCTTATTCTTTAAATTCATCTGCTGTTCAACGTCTAGCAACTGGACAGTTTACAAATAGTTAACAACATGCAATTATGCAAAATTATACACATTCACACTTAAGCAGTAGAACATACTCTGAAACTGAGAAGCTGTTTTTAGCATTAGTCCAAAACCCTGTGCTGGAAAAGATGCAAACAGAAGTACACCTATTACAAAGCCATTCCCTTGGGTGTCCACCCCACAGCTTTATTCTTGTGACAAGTGCTTTATTCCATAAAGAGCTGGGAGGGCAAATCCTTATCTCGGTGCTCAACCCCACCACCACCACCAATGACACCAATATGAATACATCTTTCAGAAATATCTGAAAGATGTATTCATATTCAGCTTTACACTCAATCCAGATAATGCTCATTTATCCAGTGCATGAAGAAGGCTAGAATTTTAAAACCATCATTAAATTAAAAATTAGCTGGGGGCTGCAGTAAAAATAAATGGTGGCCAAGAGCCACACTGAACAAGTAATGTTGTAGTGATGTCACTGCAGTTAATAGGGTTGGGACTTTGTAAGAGAGTCATTTCTTCAATGGTTCAAATGATAGTTTTGACATTTGGTGTGTTAAACTTGTATGGTCATATACCACTTTTTCTTATTTTCACCAAAAACAATTAGAAACTGCTGCATTTCTTGCTGAAATCTGGCAGTATAACTGAAGGGAGATCTCTAGGGGCCAGAAAAAAGGGTCACAGATGGCCCACAGATGGCCATTTGTCTATCTCTGTTTTAGTGCTATGTCTGAAATCAAATACATTATTCGGGAAGATACAGATAGTTATCAATTACTCATTTCAACACTATTCTGTATAAAAATACAGAATTTGAACCAGCAGTTTGGATAAATCACTGGCAATTTCCTCTCATCCCCCAAATCCAAAGATGGTCTCTGCATCTTGTGCAATTGCATGGATATGAATTACATGAAGATTTTGAACTGCATGCCTACCATCAATTTGGATATGCACTATCCAATGCCAGAAAAGTACATGTCTGATCAAATGCAAAGCAGGTGAGTAGATATGGGATGGGTGAGAAAGATGGTCACTAAACTAAGCTGTAGATGACAGCCTACAAGCCTTACAGTAACGGCAAAAGAAACTGTAAACGAACTGAAGGAAAATATTTAAAAAGAAAGATAGTATGTTATACATATATACACTACAGTGCCAGTTAGACATCATTGTATAAATAAACTGATCTTCATCTATAAGAGCAAAGGATTATGCAGATGTATATTTGATACTTTCCACAGTAACTGCTAGAATACTGAAGCAGTAGGCCTGAAAGGAATTTGCTACTTATGAATAGAGCTTTAAGTAAGGTATGTTTTTGAAACTTAGGTTATGCTGAGGTTCATCTGCTAAACTAAAGCATGCTGACTGGGGAAGTCTGGGAGTTGAAGTCCACACATCTTAAAGTTGCCAAGGTTGAGAAACCCTGCACTAAACAATTAATGTGTTCACAGTCATCCAAACAGCAAATCTGAAACTCTATACATGTTAGCAGTACATAGAGAAATTTGCATATAATTATACAGGCTTCAATTTTTCAACAGTGGTTTTGGCCTGGACATGGCAGCTAATGCTACAAACACAAGTTTTATGGCTGCCAGGACTCTGCCAGTGGGCTTACTTTGCACTGCATTCTATATGCAACTCTTTTTCTTGGAGAACTGATTACGTGGGGCTTTACAACTACCACATTTTTTGCTGAGTTACTGTGTTTGTACAACATAATCGACTGGATGACAGCTTAAATTAAAATAGGCTTATGGCTGTTTTAGATTAAAACTACGTTGGTGGAAAACCTATTGGTTCCTCCTCCAGATTATGTTGAGCTGGCCATTCTGGTTTTCCAGAATTTAATTCTCCAAATTGCAAAGCATTTGTGGTATTTCAGACAAAACAGTCTACTTCTAGGGCAGACCAATCTCAGAATACCACAAAATATTTCTGGTTCAGATGATAAACATCTGGAAACACCCATAATGGCTGGATTGGTACAGTCCATAGGAGAATTGGAACATTTTGGAACTCTCTGGAAAGATGTGCTCCTACAACATTAGGTTCTGCACATACCTAGTTAAAACAAACCTTTTCCTGCCCCACTGTGGACTGGTTAAAAGCATTTTCCTACCATTGATACAGCCCATGCTTCAGGTTAGGACTTCATTACCATGGTTCTCATTAACCTCAAAAAACAGAATTCCTAAAATACATTAGCTATAAAAACTTAAGATCCCCACCTTCTTTTAGATTTGATACTAACCTGTTCAATATGACCTTTTTGCATTTCCAACACAGCCAAGTTATTATAGGATTCTGCATGGTCATTGTTGTTGGCCAAAGTCAGTTTGAAACACTGGTAAGCCAAGTTTGTATCACCTATTCCCTGAGAAGTAAAAGCACAGAATATATCATAGTTTCTATATATAAACTAATTGCCCCTATTCAGTTACTAGAACTCTGGAAAGGAGATATGGGTATACGTGCCACTCTTGCCTCCTCTAGTCCTGACCTTCCTGGATTGGAGTATCTCAAGAGAATGTAAAGATGTTCCATAAAGTGGGAGCATACTTTAGGCAGGATTTGTGATCACATGGGGGCTTTTAACAACATTTAGAAGTACTAGGTTAGGGCTTCCATTTAGACCTTTTCTGAAAAAAAAAAAGTGGGAACAGAGCCTTTGAAATTCTTCCATTTGGTCATTGTGGAAAACAGGATGTTGTACTACCTGGAATTTTGATTGGATTCAGCAGAACTCCTGTTAAATTTCTTGAAAGCATAAAAAAGGAGGTGATATCCTACAATATTTCAGTTTAAATGAAAGGAGTTTGACAAAATTACCAAGTATTATGATCAAGCACTTTCTGCCAGAAATCATTTGTAGCTATAGGATATGAATGTATATTTGAACTGGGAAATTAAACCACTAGAACTAGGCATGCAGAGAAATATGCTAATTCATGTAAATTTGGAATGGACATCATTCTCTTGGTTGGGGGCTGCATTATATTTATTTACATACAGATTCCCATATTTCTTTCCCTCTTGTGGTATTGTCATCATGCATCTTGGAGGGTTGCAGGGGATACTAGGGTGTCTTTAAAGGAGCAGGGCCAACATTTCTTGCCCTCTTGGGAAGTTTTGGGTACTGCAATAAAAAGAGTCTCTAAAACTGCAGATTACTCATCCCTGAGAAAAATGTTCAAATCTTTACTAATGTTTCAATTAGTAAAGTGAATTCAGCAAATTATAATGAACATTTACTGGATCAGTACTAAAACCCCTATGTTAGCCTACTTTCATTTTTCAATCTGATTATTAACACTTCAATTATCAATACACAGAAATGAGGTATATTTTTTACAAGAAAGTGTTCAGAAGTCACTTCATCCTAGAGTTAGCAGAACCAAGACTTCATCTCAAAGGCTGCTTCTCAATGAGAGGTCTTGCCCTAGAAAAGTAAATGCTGTGAAGTTTTGTTTGGAAAATGTTCAGGCAGGCTACTGTACATCACTCTCCCTTATAGCAACAACATCCTATTGAGATTTTTCTATCTCCTTCAAGATGATATAAATGTATTGTGATATGCAGTGTGCAAAAACATTTATTCTTGCATCTTTTTGATAGCTGATAAGCAGATTATAGGCCACCAAAGCTTTCTGGGCTAAAATCTTATCATTTCTGCATAAATATTTCAATGAAGTATTCTTAACAAACATTGCTCTTACCACAGCTACATGTCCCAAGTTGTACCACACATCTGCAGCTTCCTCCTCACTTTCTGCTAGAGATAGTGCACGTTCAAATGAACTGAGAATCATGTCATATTGCTGGGCATAGAAGCAGCAGAGGCCCAGATTGTTAAAGAGTTGGCTGTTATAAATGCCCATCTGCAGGAGCCGCCTAGTTCAACATAAAAAGTAAATAAAGTAACTAGGACTTTCGTAGCATGCTTCTTGAAAGCTTCTTGTGCTACATGCAAAATCCTTATACATATAAACAAGCTCATTTCTCCTCCTTCAGCAGCTTGATTCCTGCCAACTTCACTGAGACATCCATGAAGTTTTCTTGGAAACAGTACAGTCTTGCCTCCTCAACGATACTCTTGATTTCCCAGTCTAGCCTACTATAGAGAGTGTAGGGAATGGCCTTGAAAGAAAAGGAGGAAGAGCTACTACCAAAGCAATGATAGGACAAGCATGGTTTGAGCCCATTCCAAGAAAGTAGTTTGAGTAAACATCTCAGACAGGCCGCTCCCTAGTTTACACTAAGATAAAGTGAGGGGGGGAAGCACATTCAGACTTGAAGATTCCGTTATTATAAAAGTAGCCCTGACCTATATGGCATTGGTTTCTTAGACTGATCTGCCTTACAGGGCTGACATACAACTGTAGCATTCCTTGGTAGTCCCTTATCAAAGTACTCCCAAGGTCTGACTGTTCTTAGCATCCGAGTTCAAAGAAGAGCAGTCAGGTGCTGCTGCCTGTTGAGGCAACCTACAAAAAAGGGAGTTCTATGTAGTATATCTCATGACATGTAGTTGTTGCAGCAGCCCCATCTCATGGTAATATCACAAATTACAATCCATGGGAAGAATCTATACAGCGAGTCTTTCTACAAAAATGTCACTAGGGAAATTCAGAGGATAATGCTATCTGTATTTCTCACTGAATGTAAGAATAAACCAGGGTGCAATAGCTCTTATACCCTCATTTTTAATATGATCAGCATTTTCTCTTTCTCCCCCCTCCCCCTCCCTCGAATGAAGCCTTGTTGACTAGAACTGTCAAACTTTGCCTTCTAAAAAAGCACCCCTGCTGTAAAGGAAATTGCTGTTCAAAACACTGTGTAGTACCTTAAAGTCTAACACATTTATTATATCATTAGGTTTTCATAGCCTTCTGACTATCTGACAGGTATAATAAAAATAAAAAGCTTTTCTTTTTAATTTTCTTCTCAGGCTGTGCTCCCATCCTATCAAACAGTAGAGCTAGTCTGACTGATTATTCTGTAAAGTCAGGGATATTGTTGCAAATAGCCACCTTGTGTTACTGAGAAATAAATACAGAGAAGCTCTCCATCTAGATGTAAATGAAGTACATTATTTAGACAACAAATATATACTCTGAACAAGAAAAATATATATATAATTTTGAGAAAATATAACAGAAAACATGTTTGCCACATTCTCTGGAGATATTATCAGGAATACATGAAGCAATGTAATATAAACTATATGAAGATAGAAACAGTAAGAGAAGAACAATAACAGATAGCAGGGGCATTCCATATAAGGCATTTTTACCTCTCCCAAATCAGTTCCACACTGGAACAATAAATCAGCATCTGAGCCAATTTATTTCAGGCTTAGTTGCAGGACATTCCAGACTGCAGTTTCTTGAGATGCTGAACTCTTGAACTCAGCCTTTCCCTCTTTCCCACAGAAGTTCAGCATCTCTTAGGTCTTCCTAATATGTTATTATTTCAAATGCAAGAGAAGAATAGTGCCCTAATGGCTCTGTAGACCTTCCAACAATTGTTTATTTTGGTGGGAAAAATCTCCAGGCAAATGTACACAAAGTAAAAATATAGGTGAATGCCATTTTTATATTGTCTGATTAATCAGTTGGGGAGAGACCACCAATCAATTCATGTGTTCCCAGTGTTTCAAGGTTGGTGGCAATGAAGGTGATCATGAATCTGTTTTAGGCTCCCTTGAGACTGTGGAATAGAACCAGCTGATATGTAGAAGCATCTTGAGATTCCTTCGTGTATTTTAAAGATTTCTACAAACACTTTTTATAGATGTCTTAGTACAAAAATTAGGCTGTAGTTTCTTTCTAGGTTCCTGTCAGGGCTATAATTCTTAAGTCTGACAAATGACTCACTGAATTAGTCTACAATTTATCACTTTTTTCACATATTCATCCATACTGGGGTTTCTATTCTATTATTTCACTATTTCAAAAAATAATGTAGATTCACTACCTTCTTACCTGTAAAAACGTAAAGCTATCTCTGGCTGGTCAGAGTAAAAATGATTACTTGCAATGCATGCAATGGCTTCCACATGGGTATTATCTTGTTTTAAGACATCTTTATAGCATTCTGCAGCGGCAGAAATGTTGTTCATTTCCTATAAAGAGATGAATAAATACAAAAAGTTTAAATTATATATGATTAATAAAAACAAAGAAAGTGTTGTGATTCCTTAAACACCAAGGAATACTATAGTAATTAGATGAATAATGATCTGAGATTATACAAAATATAGAATAAAACCTTTAATTCTAGAATTTTATTAGTAGTTATGTAGTACTACAGGCTTGCATATTATTTTGTAAATGCTTCTCTTATCATATACTTATTTTGTCATTCTTTGGTTATGATTACTGTTTTTACATTAAAATATCCCTGTCATCAAATACACAGTTAATGATACAAAATAATACCTCCTTCTCTCTCCATCCTTGGTATTGTCTATACCAGTGTCAACTTTACTTCTGTTGATTTGCCTTTTATTTAAAATCCTTCTGCATCTTAAGTAAGTCTAGTGAAAAAGGGGATTAGAAAGAGTACATTTGAAGATAAAATAAGACCGTATTGGTGGTGCAAAGGAGTGCCTAATAAAGATAGAGCAGCAGGTCTTCCATGCCTTATTTAGCCAGACACTTAAAAATGGATCTTCCTTCTCACTTTTTTCTAAATGAGCTGCAAGGAACATCAATCAGTTTGATGACTTTCTAACTCTTTGGCGATATACTTGCCAGTGAATGTTGTTCTATAAAAATTAGGCCCTCGGTTTTTCGTGTATGTTCCATTTGGAAGATATATGCCCTCCAGAGTATAATAGTCTGGAGAAAATAATTGATTTGTGTAACATCGTATTTATGCTTATTATTAATTCTTTTCAAAAGGAAGATTGACAGTCCCAGAATAGGTGGAAGAAATATCTCACCTTCTGCAGTAGCACCTGGGATGCTCAAGCAGAACAAGGAGACCAATGGCTGGATGGGATCCCCAGAGCTCTAGGGATAAAGTTTTCAGAGCAGTTTTCCACTGATGATTTAAGTTTTAAATTAGCTGTTCTACTCAGACTGAATATATCCAATGCTTGCCTACAGTCCTCAGATAGCATTGTACAGAGATGCTGGTCTGCAAAGCTTTGCAGCTTTTATTATAATTCTCAAATATCTGCTGCACCAAGCATATCTGGGTGAAATTTTGAAGCTGTACTGTATGAATTACAATGTAACTGAGAATGGCAACTTGAAATTATCTTTGGAATTTATCATCTCTGGATTTGAAAACATTATCCTTCAAAAGTAATTAGGATGGATGAAAATATATCTTATGTACACTTTACTGCCAAAGAACAAATATATTTGAAAAGATGTGCATACATGCATTAATCACATATAATTATAAAATGTCATTTTATGTTAACCACTGTTTTGTTCTAGCCTACTCACAGTAAGTAGCCATATGTTTTGGGTTCTTTCCTCCTCCTATTTATAGACTACTGTTGGATAAACCACTACTACATAACAGCATCAGTTTTCTTCAGCAAAGAAACAGGCTTTTCTGTTTGTTTGTATAACTTTCTCTGTCAGTCATTATCAAAAGATTTTAAAAAGATTTATTTCCCACGGTGGAAGGCATAGCAGGCCTCTACTCTCTAAAGATGCAATCCTATCCTCACTTAGCTCAGGTAAGAGAACATCAATAATGCATGAACAGACTTCCAATCACACAAAAGTGTACTGTATCTGAACGCATATCTTTCTCAGCATTACTAGTTTGCTCTTTATGATGATTTGGGAGCTTAAGCTACTATACTTGATTTGAGAGCTTAGACTACTATTTGAATTCTTGGGGAAGTTACATTTCTTTTAGACTACTGGGAAACAGGTATTTTGTGACTGACCATGCCCATTGGGCAGCCACTTGTGAATGGATGTGCTCCTTCCCAAGCATTCACTTTATAAGCACTCATAATATTCTCTGAAAAATCCAAATGTTTCCCAGTCCCCAAAGACTGGGGGCCTCTAATAAAGAGAAAATAGTGCTTACAAAAGTGAAGTTCATATATGTCCATGCTCAAAGGAAGGCAAATGTTCCGGGTTAAAAAACTTTAATTGAAAAACATTCAAAGGCATCTAAATTCCCATTATAACTCTAACTGCATTAATAAACAGTATTCAACTTTAAGATATGCTTTGCTTATGCTATTTATCATATTTAAAATTGATCCTTAATTTCAGCAAATTTTGAAAGAAGTGCTTCTCTAAAAAAAATTATTTGTTATATTCCTCCTCCTATTTTCCCTCACAACAATAGCTCTGTGAAATAATTTGGGCTAAAAGAGAAAGTCACCAGGGAGCTTCAATGGCTGAGGACAGACTAGTACCCGAAGCTTCCTGGTGCCAATCCAACATCTTATGCCCCACACCACAATGATTCTCTTAACCATTTTGTAATTTTTGAAGTAATTGTACTGTGCGGTAATTCTTACTAATGTACATGCATTCCTACATTCTCCCAATACTCATGAAATCAGTACTAAGTTGCAAAGAATTCAGCTAGCTGACAAGTTCTATATGTCTTTATTGTTTGAAACAAACAATGAATACTAGAAAAAGATCTGGTAATGACTCCATTGTCCAAGCATAGATGTGTCTCTGAAACTGAACTATAAAGAGCTACTTCAGTGGAAACTAAAAGAGCTGTAACTCAGTGATAAACTAAAAGATACCAGATTTCAATCCCTGATACCTAGATTCTGAAGTCCAGAGCCACTACAACTCTTTTGAAAACACTAGTGAGCTACTGATTGCAAAGGTCAGCTCTCCATATTCTTATATTTTAGAACAAAGAAGCCACAAACCAGTCTTAGAGTTGTTAACTTTCCCCATTCTGCCTCCTTAGCATTAATTCATTTGCACATCTAAGTACTGAAATGTAAAGCAGAAACTGTTTGAGGGTGTACTCATCAATTATGCTCCTTATGCATGACAAAAACTTGATTTGCATACCTCATGAATCCTGGCCATACCACAAAGAAGGGAAACTTCTCCAGGAAATTGTTCTAAACCTTGTTTGAAAACATTTAAAGCTGTCAAAGGCTGATCCAAGCGGGAATATACCTGGGCAAATAAATGGATGTAGCTCTATCAATGCTAAGATTTTTACAATGGCTATAGATGTGAAAATAAGCTGCCAATTAAATCATGCACGTGCACACACACACAGATATACACAGACATACACACACACACATATATACATATGTATATACATACATATACTGTATATAGTCTATGCATGCAGCTACATATAAAGCTAGAAAACTACTCTCCACATTCTGGCACTGCCTCTACATATCTTTCAGGACAAAATTCAGATAATGCCAGAACACCATAACAACATGGTTTTAAAAAACAGCATCATTCCTTTCACTCCTCTAAAATATTTAATGCAACTGTTTTGTGTCCTTCTGCACAATTAGTTCATTCAGTCCAGCACATGAGAACCATCTGTTACGTTTTTTCTAGGATAGGATGCCTCTCTATGTGGCCTTCAGCAGGACAAGGCAGGCAGTGAACTTTCAAGAGTGATAGGACAGCGGTACAACCTTGTCAAAGGTACCTAATGACGCCAGCTAAAAAATGCTGGTTACTAAACATAAGGCTGGGTACTACCCCAATATTTATATTGTCTTTTAACTGATTTCTACAATCACCTCTAAAGAAAGATTACAAGGTAGTCTATCAGCTGTTTTTTTATTTGTTCAAGCTTAGAATTTGGAAAGGATTGTTTTAAAATTTTAATGATTTTAAAATCATTCTCTAGGAGAATGATCTCAGATACCTAGCATATTGGTCAATGCATACACAAGGGGGGAAATTATACCGAAACTTTTCAATTGCACCCAGTGACAGGCAATGCAATGACATTCTGAAACTGAATTTACCGCAAGGGTTGCAAACAGCTGTGGAAAAAGCTTCCAAATTACCCCTTTCTATAGGATATCTTTTTAAAAAAACAGTATCAGCAACTGAACAACTAATTATTTTAACTAGCTGCAAAGGCTTAAGAAATTATAATCCAAGAGTTCCAAACTATTTGTCTAAAATGATGAATTTTTAATTACAAATGCTAACTTACTTTTGCCAAATACAGTATTGTATCTACCATATCCTGTTGTCTGAGAGCTGACTTAAACTGCGTTTCTGCTTCACGATATAATCCTAGTCTGGACAAATATATAATGAAAAGTATGTTAAAGCTAACAAACCAGTAGAAAATTGATTATATTTTACAATAATTCAATATTATGACCATTAAAAATATTAGAGAATTTACATTCTACAGTTTAGCTGACTTGTAGAAATGAAATTAGAAAGGCTAAAGATCTGAATGAGGTGAGGTTGGCAAATGATCCTAATAACTAAAATGTGTTTGTTTATGTTCCAGATAAAATAAAAGTAGCTACTCAATGAAGACAAGGCAGAATGACAGAACTCCTATTTTAGCTCAGTCTTTTCTAAAAAGAGGACAGACGTTACATCAAACAATTATGAAGAGTAAAATGAAAGAGCAGGATAGAAAAATGCAATTGACAGAAAAATATATATTTAAAAAAATTAAATTACAGCACTTGAATGAGTTAAAATCTTATTCTTTTGAATCATAAGATATTGAAAAAACTTGCTGATGGTCTGGCTGAACTTTATGTATTGAGAAATTCTAGGAAATGGGTGAAGTGCTAGATAACTGAGGTGGCAAATATTGTCCCTAACTTCAAAAAGGATGGGAAAAGAATTTAGGAAACTACAGAATAGTCAGCCTTCAGCAAAGTACTTACCTAAGTACTGCAAGGCAGCCTAATTAGCAAGTTAGCAAACTATGGGCTGGATGGAGTGATAATTAAGTGGATTTGCTTGAAAATCCCACTCAAATAGTGCTCATTAATGATTCCTCATCAAATTATGAGGAAATATAAAGTGAGTACCACATGGTTCAATCTTGGATTCTGTATTCTTCAAACACTTTTATTAATGATTTAGATGAGAGGTGGAGAGAACATTTATCAAACTCATCGATGACATAAAATTGGGTGGGATAAAAAGATAGACAAGCTTGGTTCCTGGTACAAATACAAAGATATTTCCCATTGCCTTGTATCAAGAGTTTTTTTTTTTAACTTCCTAGTCCCAGGAACTCTGGTACTCTACCATCCAAATATTAACCATATCTGACTTTGTTTAATTTTTTTTTTTTGAGAACAGCTTAGTACTGCCACCTGCCATGATCTTAAAAGATAGAAATGATATTCAAAGTAAAATTGAAAACAGGTTGAAAATAACATAATTACATTTATTAGAAACAAAGGCAAAGGTTTCACTTAGGAAATAGATATCAAATAAGGGACATCTGGCTTTTCAGAATGCACATGAAAAAGATGTTAGAACAGTACTTGATTGCAATCTGAATAAAATGTGATGTAGTAATAAATATGGGGAATGAAGTTTTATACTGTCAACAGACTAGTTTCTAAATAACAGGAAATTAGCATTCTACTCTGTTCTGGGTTGTCGAGACACCATCTTGAACACTGTGTCCAGTTCTGAGCACTACATTTAGAAGGATTTAGACAAACTGAATTGGATTCAGAGAACAGCAACAAGCAGGGATACAACAGCACTATTCAGATATCTGAAAGTATGTCACACAGAAGAAGGTCAAGACTCTACTCCTCAGAAGGATACACAATAATTGATTTAACTTACAGGAAGGGAGATTCTGATTTAATGTATTTCCTAACTGTAAAAGCCATTCAACAGTAGAACCAGCTACTCAGAAAAATGTTTCTCTTCACTGGATATATTCAAACAGAGGATGAACAGCAATTTGCTATAGATGCTTTCATTTGGAAAAAAGGATTGCACTCAACGGCCTCTTCCAACTCTGCAAGTTTTTTATTCTATAAAATATACTGCAACCTGACTCAACAAGCAAAATTAGCATGCTGAGTCATCATCAGCATGCAAAATTAAATGTTTCATTTTTCCCAAATTGGGCAAGGCATATTGATATTTTTAATGAAATGAGTAAGGATTGCTCAACATTCTCCTTGTTGGATAAACCTATTAATTCACTGATGCAGTAGCAAAGGAATATACATCGATGTGATAACTTCAGATTATGCTAAACATGATTCCTTGCCTCTTAAGTTTGCTCCAGCATTTAAAACTAAGTTTGTAGAAAATGAGCAGTACCTTTCCAATACCTAAATTTGGCGACTTCTATCAGAAAACTCTTCACATATAAAGATTAAAAAAATAACAGAGGTAATGGAGTATACCTATTGTAGTAGCACAAGAACTAAAATTAGCAGCTTATCTTTTAACTCCTATGTGTCTTTCATTTCTGCATTATTTACAACTTTAAAAAATTATAGATGGCAGACAGGATGTAGTATATTAGTAGTTTAATATACTTATGCCAATGATGCAAGTATAATATTCCACCATAAATTTGGCTTATTTGTGGCAATGATTTTGCAAGGAGTTTGCCATTTTGAAATGTGTTTTCTTCAAAAACATCAATGTGATACCAAATGTTTTTTTTAGTCAAGTTCAGCTGGTAATACTTTTCTTCCCTTTTCATTACATTTTTAAATTAACGACTGCTTTTTTAAGTCCTCTGCTATCATACTCATGTTTAATTCAAGATTTAACTGTTATGAATTTGATATTTCAAGCCTCAGAAAAAACAGCTATAAACATAAAAGTAGTGGCTCAGGGTGGGATAAAAATTTCACTGTTTGTTTTTAATTTTGGCACAGGAAAGGGATTGTTAGATGAAACACTGTATTTTAATTGAAGCAAATATTGATTTGCTTCCTCTTTTTTTTTTTGGTTTTGAAGACTGTGCCTAGTCCTATTGAGCTAATTTCCCAATTTAAATATATGTTTTGAAGATCTGCCTAGAAATCTCTCTCAAACTGGAAGTATATGTTATTCATTACATGAGACTGCCACCAAAAATGCAAGCTTGAAGTTCAGATTTTAAAATGGACAGTTTACCTGTAATAACATTTCCCAATTTGCACTTTCCACCACCAGTCCTTGAATTGGGCATGCTGTGTGGCATATGCTGCCAAATCTAAAGCCTTGAAAGGGAAGCAAATTTATAAAGGTCATCTTCAATTCTGAGAGAAAAAACATATGCAGTCAATGTTTAGCAGGATGTAAAAAAATTATAAGATTAAAATGGAGAAATATACTAGATTTTCCCTTTTTTTTCTATTTTGCCTCATGAGTTGAAATGGCAAAGGAATCCTTGATGGCATAATTTTAAGCCATTCAGAACTGACAGCTTTCTTGATAAATGCATTTTAAAAAATACTCAAGCCCTTCTATCACCTATATAGTTGGTGATATAGGTATCTATATCATATAACAAATATAACTCATATAACAAATTATCTTCTCCATTTTTAGTATTAATTCCTGTTAGGGTTGGATTCCTCTTAAATTAGATCATTCCAACCATTTAATACATGCATAAATGAATACTGAAAAAGGTTATACAAATTCTGTGCAGTTAATTGCAAGTTCAGCATTTTGTGCAAAGGTATAAATACTTCCCTAATCCCTCATATGCTCCAATTCTGCACGAAGGTACATATCACATCCCAAATTCAAAATAGCTTCCTCTACTGATATGAGGACTAAGCATACTCTTACTGAAAAGCAAACCTACAATGGGTTTAGATATAAACGCCACTTTTGTTAATAATTTGTTTTGAGAAAAGCATCAAGAAACATGAATGGTGCTATGAATTAAAATCCTAGATGGCAATTGGGGAAGAAGGGAGGGACTAATATCTAACTGCTCATGTGTTTTATATACTGATAAAGTAAAAAAAGCAATATACTGTATCTGTTTTGGCTCTGAAGTCACTAATAATGACTTAAGCAGCATTTGATCACACCAGATATCAATATACTTTTCAGTGTCATCTTTGGAAATTTTAGCAATTAGATTATTTCTAGATGATTAGGTACCAGGAAGTGAAGAATGAATGCCAGTTCCCAGCATGTAGACATGCACATTATTTCTGTTAACAATTATATAGAAACTAAAAGATAGTAGTGCAGAATTAATTTTCATCATAAAATAAGCCAGGAGGGAGAGAGCAGGAGCTTGAATGCAGCTGATATGAACAAATAAAACTATACTGTACAGACAATCTAACCCTTAAAAAACGTATTTTCTGCATGAGTAATGATCATCCATTGTTTTGACATCCATAAAGCAGCAAAAAACACTGCAGATGTGGAAAAACGTTTAAATCAGCCTTGTCTCAACTGCAGATGAAAGCCACCTGTATTTCTTGGCAATTGTCAAGAAAAAAAAAAGGTCTCTTCATCACAGCAATGAGGGCAACACTATCAACTCCTTCACAGGACAAAGGTGTAATAATTCTAATTCTTCTCTGTGATCAAGATTTTAAGTCACTATTCATTTGTAATATTGGTTACAACTGCTGAAAGTCAATATATATTCATTTTAGAGTCAGGAAATGTTTTACCATATTTATAGGCAAAAATAGACTGTCAGATTTAATTTACCCTTGAACTCAGTAAACTCCAAAGATTTTCAAGATACAAATGATTTCCAGTTCCTACTCTGGAACTCTAGTGCACTGCAATGGAGAGGGGATATTTATAGGATTGTATGGGATGCATCAACATCTCATTGCTGCCTAAATCTGATACCCAATCTTCCGCAGACATGCACTAGGAAGGAAAACCAAGAATGGTATGCTGGTATTACTTCAGAGTAGTTTTCTTGCTTAACTGAACTACTTACTGCAGAATCTATTGTAAGAGTCCAAGATATCCTATTGTGATACTTCAGAAAAATGTGAAAATTTGCAGGTTGTACATTACAACCTCATCTTGGAGCCTTGTTCATTAATACAGCTTCTATTATCCTCTACCTTTTTTTGCACATATAAAGTTTCTATATACTGCTATGCCTCCCTTAGCAAAACAAAAGGATATGTTTCTATATGCAGTGAGCTATACGTTCATATAATTTCTTCCTGTTTGGAACTAATAATAATTTGATATTCCTTCTTTCATTTTAATACTTCACAGAGATGGTTTTCCCTAAAACCTCTTTCAGACATTAATATATTTCTTTAAGCTGAAGTATCAGGTTAAGGACTGAAGGAAATCTACTTATGTGGTTGCTAAGAATTGACACTGGCTTGATGGCAATCAATCAATCAGTATTTCTTTAACAAGAAATGGCAACTGTTTTCAGAAACCATATACCATCTGTTGATTTCAACTGACCACATATGGGTTTTTTTGAAAACCAAAATTATTTGAAAAAGAAATGATTAAGGAACTAGTTTAAACTATGTAACATGAAATATCTGAATTCAAGCAAAGGCAATACATTTTATATTTTTCTGAAGTAAGAAAATGCAGTATCATTATTCTGATGAAAGACATAAACCTGTCCCACATGGAGCTACTTTTCTTTAACTGTTAAATATTTATCTCACACTCAAAATAAAAACAGCAGAAAAACATTAACATTTTAAAAATAAGTATACTTACATTCTTAACATCACTCTCATGATGAAAAATGTATTCAAACAAAGTCTATTAAGAAAACAAACTCAAAATATGTTGTCAAACTGGAGATAAACAAGATCTATTTACATTTAATTAGAAATAAGCACTTTATGAATTCATTTAAAATCACAAGCAGATTTCACATAAAGTATTGAATGCAATAAAGAATTCACATCACAAAAATTTGTATAATGTTACTGCCGTATTAGGCAAGACTTAATCTTACACCTGAAATTTATTTATTTATACATACATATGCACAATTTATAGGCCACCTGACTCCCAATGACTCTGGGCAATTTACAATTAAAAGTAAGGGAAAAAAAATAGAAATATAAAAACAAAAATATCATAAGCAGCCCAAAGGAAAACATGTAAACCAAAAATCAACAATCCAACAGAGGCTTTACCATCATTCTGCTCCAAAGCCTGGGAGAAAGCCAGGGGAAATGGGGTATCTTTTATAATATGCTACACTTACTGAACTTAACAGAGGGGGAAGCGGGGGTCACTGCTAAAAAGTTGGATGCTCTGAAAATTATCTTGGAAGATCAGCCTTTGCTTGGGAAAGACTGCTTACATTGTAAATGTGACTCTTCTGTATGGCTTAAACAAAGCTTCCTCTCTTCTTTCCTTCCCAATGAAACAATCCTTTCCCTTTACCCCATCTCCATATTATTTTTCTTTTCTTTTCACTGATCTGCTAGAAGGATGACAAGTAATATATGTGTGTATTTCTGTGTGTCAAAATGAACTGTGTGTCAGAAAGTGTGTTTATATGTACAATTATTGTACAAAAAGGAATCCATTAATTTTATAAATGGGTACTTGATTTTACATTATATTTATTTATATTTATTTATTTATATTTCAAATTTGTCGGCACCCATCTCACTGCAGAGAGACTCTGGACAGTTATATATATGGTACCTTAATTTTAATTAGTAGTTATTAATTCACTTAAATAGCCTGCCCCCCCTGCATGCGCTGTTTGAAATGTGGCTTCTGGCAGGTATACTTACCAGAAGCCACACTCCAAAAAAGGACACAATCAGGATTAAAAAAAAAAAGGAATGTACACTGTATATGCCTCTTGTTGGTAGGCTTATAAACTAGTTTATACAGAATGTACAGGCTAGGTTATCAGTCATAGCTGTATCTGTGCCACGTGCAGCATTCCTCACTAATGGTAAGGGCTACAGTAATTACTTTTGATACATTTTAGCCAGTATGTCACAAGTGCAACCAAAGCCCAGTTTTACAACAAGGATGCTCATACTGTTTGAATCTGTTCTAAAAACTATCTTGCAAGCCAACACACTGTTGTCCAACTCAGAGAGGAATAATACAGTGTACTGACATAAATTCCCACTACTAGTTGTGAAGCTTCGTTGTTGTTCAGTCGTGTCCGACTCTTCGTGGCCCCATGAACCATACTGCACCAGGCCTTCCTGTCCTTCACTGCCTCCCTGAGTTTGCTCAGTTTCATGCTCAAACTGTGAAGCACTGGAACCTTAATACTACGCTAGATTTGGCAGTAGGATAATGAATGCCGGATGCTATTGACTTAAATACTTTTCACTTCCCTTTCACATTCAGATAGGAAGCTCTGGATCATAATTTGAATATGTTGTTGAAACAGAGTTATCCCTACATGTGCTCATTAATTCCACTGCTGACATGATCATGAGTAACCAGGATTCCTTGAAATCTTGGTTTAATCTTAATTAATATTAAATGTGCTCCAGTGCAACTCTTCCTTATGAAGATATGAGTTGAGCCTGGAGAATGGAGGCAGTCCTTTTAATTTGTTCCTGATTGCTCTATCCTGGCTAAAAAATTGCACTATACTGAATCTGTGCATCTCTCTTAGAAAAAAAATCAGTAAAAAACCAAAAGCTACAGAATATTTATTAATATCTGCTTTAAATTAACAAATAAGAATTTAAAATAAGCAAATCAAGAATGTTATATTAAACAAGCACATACCTTCGCCAACTTTGGTTTTTGAGCATAATTATTTAAGTTCAGTTTAGATACATTTATGAAAGGACCATCAGGATTAGTGAGCATGGAGGCCTGTAGTGGGAAAAAGCATCAAACTAATTGACATGCCATGTTTGAATTACTACTAGGCAATACAATATAAAATTCTGAGGAAACCAATATGATGCCTATAAAAAGTAATACATGAGAATAAATTCTGACACTTGCACAACTCCCAACTCTTGCCACTGCTCCTTCAGTTAAGTCAATTAGACTCTCACCCACTCCTCAGCAGCAACAGCAGCAACAGAGCTTAACAGTACACTAACTCTCCAGCATCCAACCAGGCCCATATAGCTTGAAAAGGCCCCAGTAAAGTGCAATTAATAGTAATCTTTCCCTTTCTGAAAAAATACTTATTCACTTCAAAATTTTCTTCTATTAATTATTAACATATCTAAGCTACCCAGTAACAGTTCCCTGGGTGGAATGAAAAGTTATTTAATTTTTAAAAAGTTATTGAGAACATTAAAAACACCAGTAAATCAACAGAACGATGAGGACAATAAAATGAAAATAATAAACAGCACAAGAAAAAGTAAAACATAATATTTGTTACTGATCACAGTGCAGAGCAGGTACAAAACTGTAAGAACGCATGAAAGAAGATGAATATTTTGGCCTGGAGCTGAAAGATCAACTAAAGCCTGTAATTTCCTGAAAATCCAATGAAAGACAACTGTGAAAGTGTAATATGAAGTGTTGTAAAATTCAGTGGGGCTTACATCTGAGTAACTCACAGGACTATACTACCAAACTGTATTTTTTTCTCATTACTATGCATAGACAATGTATTTTTGTCTATTTTGTGGAACATTTGATCTTCATTGGTTTAAGCAATAATGAGCAAAGTCTACTAGTATTATATAGAACACACATATTTTTCAGAAGTGTGATAATCTAAACAGACATAAAGATGCTATTATTAATAACAGTTATTAGTATAGCAGAGAGAAAAAAAGTAAGAACTTGAGAAAAAAAAGCCCTATCTAGTCCTTGTATGTACATGTACTTCCAATTTCCAAGAATACAAACATAGGATCCTTACTGTTCCAAGCCTGACATATCTCCCTGAAGCACTAGTCATTGGACGGGCAGTGTGAGCAGTTCTTGGAGTTTTTATGGCCTGTTCAATGCTACCTGGTCTCCCAGCCTGTGTGCTAGGCCGCACAAAACCTGTCAGGGGTCTCCCTGTTTGAGTCAGTGGTCTGAAATGATCCAAAGATGGAAAAACATCATGATAAAATGATAAAACAGCAGTTTTTATTGCTATTTGTAAAAACAAAAAGTGTACAGATTGGCATATGGAACTATTAAGAAAGATACATGTGCATTAACTTGATTTCCTATATATGCAACAATGTATTACATTTATCATTATTAAGTGCACACTCCTATAGGGTTTACATGAAAACTACTACCCCATTAAATTTTCTTACAATAGCATAATGTCTCTTATAATTTTCAGGGAGATTACCTGTGATATCCTTTACAATGTGCTACTTCATTTTCATATTGCTATTTTTGTTTATGCTTTTACTGCTTGAAATGGTTTCCCAAATTTATTTGGCTATGGAACATTTTGGGCTGTGAATATTTTGACAAAATGCATACCTACTAATCCTAGAGTAGCTTCTTGTCTCATTAAGGACTACAACAAAATTGTGGATTTGTCATCCATAATGAGATAGGAAGACATCCCAGCACTTTCTGTCCCACTATAGAGAAATAAAAATCAATTTAAGTTTGTAGCCTATTAGAGCAAGGAAAACACATTAAAGAAAGAAAATAACAAACAGACTTAAGCTCTGTGTCAGCTAGTTGTCCACTCAAAATTGCCAGGTAACAAGGCAATCAATGACGGTTTTTTCACAGAACTTTATTAAGTCCCTGAGGAACTCTGGTGTTTCACAGAATGTAGTCTGGAAAACTGATTTCAAACTAGATATCTGTTACATTTTTTTTTCATTAAAAAAATTAACAATATATTTTTACATGTCTATGTAAGAAAACACAGCTGAATAATTTCTTGACCCATAGTTCAGTCCATAGTTATAACTTAAGAACAGACAATTTCTGAAGAACAACATACGAACAACCACAAAAGAACTGTGAAGAATTGCCATGATTCCTGAAGTATATTTAGAAAGACTTAAAAAAAATTATAATTCCATTCTTTAGCAAAAAGACTTCTAAAGTAACATACAAATATGGTTAATTAGATAGCTCTGGTCAGTTCTCAGGCTTACAATCTACAAAATATAATGCAAAATGAAAACAGCTGAAGAGAGAGAAGGAAAAAACACACCAACCCTTAAAGCTTATCTTGACCAGTTCAAATGAAAAGAGTTCAGGTACATAAATGGTAGCTGCCAGCTGGGTGACAATTAGGTAGTCTCAAAACAAAGACAATAAAATACCTCTATTTCTTATCTCTGTTATACATTCTGTGTAATGATTATCACTTAACTACAAAGAACAGATACCCAGATCAGTTAGCCCAACTGAGAAACTGAATACCTGATGGCCTGGCTAGGCCCAGCCCCCTGACCAGTTCCAGGAGCTTTAAGTGAAGTACCAGGTCCTATCAAAGAAACAAATAAACAAAACAAAACAAAAAAATCATGATGTTTATGTTTTATAGATACTTTCCTATACATATTTCTTTTGCCATTTATCTTTTGGTCCCCTCTCCCAAGTTTTTTTTTTTTTAAAAGAGGGAAGATTCAAATCACAGATGACTTTATTTTTAGTGAGGTGGCACAAATAAAATCTAATGTTATATGCATTTGTTTAAAAATGCACTGTTTCATTTAACCACAACATCATGAGTAGACTCAGTATCAGTCAAAACTGTAAAGAGAAGATAATTCCCTTCTGGAAACAAAATGCCACCTGTGTAGCACTGGATGTACGTTCACAATAAAATAATTAAAATACATGAACTTTAGTGCCCTGGAGATTTTTCTTGAAAATCAACTTCCTAGCTGGTTGCAGTATGGATTGAATACAAGGTGTAGATGAAGATTATTTACTCACTAAAGGCAAGTGATATTTTATAGACATATGAACATTCTAACAAGAAATGCAATGTTGAATTTGAAAACTGCAATATTAATTGACATAAAAATGTATCACTTTATCAAAACTGAGGATAATAATTTTAAAGAGAAAGACAAGATAACAGTTTAACTGGTAGCAATCACTCATTCCATGAGCTGCTTCTGCCAATACATTTTGGACCATATAGAAATGCAGCTTACGTGCAACTTGTGCAATTGCATTTTCATCCAGCATCATTTCAGCTATGCCTTCCTGATCCACATCAATTTCATCCACATAAACCATTTCAGTTAATGCTCGCATTTTCAAACACCAAGCAGCCTAAGACAGAGAGGAAAAAAGCCCAGTAATTTAAAACATCTACAAAATACATTCAATATTTTAAAAATCAAATTGAATAGAACACAGATAAGGCAGCCCAGCAATAGATTACTTGGCACCTGTGGGAAAAAAGAAAATGGACTATGGGATACTGAGATCCAGTAAGTGTTGGCTGGATTATAACCTTCAATGCAAGCATTAGATGTAGAAAACATTATCTGAGAAGAATATGCGAGGAGAACCTCAAAGAAGAATGCAGAGAATATATTCATGCTGTTGTGAATGTATCTTCCTTGCCAACTGACAGCCTCAGACATTCATAAATGCTCAGACATCCCCAATGAACATTACAAGGGAGAGATGTTCTCTGTCATGTAGACTGAGGCAGATTCCTCTACTACCTCCCTCACCTATGAGCCTATAGAAAAAATGTTCATTTAATATTAGGCAGAACCTGAGAACCAAGATTGGTAAAATGATTGGTTTCAATCTCCTCAGAAGCCTTAGAATTAACTTACAGGAATCTCCAAGAAGCAGGAAGTCCAGGACTACAGAGAGGAAAGAACAGCTAACTTTGAGAATGAAATAAAAAAGTTTAGCCAGGAATTAACACAGAATTCCTGGCTAAACCTTTTTCTTTTATTAAGTTCTTGATTTATTTTAGTGTGTGATGTTAAGTGAGACTTCATAGTTTTATTAGGCATTTGGGCATTTAATGTTATCTTTTTTCATGCTGCAGGCTCGCTGTGAATATAGCATGTTTGCTTTAGAATCTTTCTGACTTCCATAATAGTAATAATAATAATTTTTTTAAAAACCTTAGGTCTCTTTGCGAAGACTTTGTAACTAGCCATTATATAGTCTGATCAGAGTACTGTATCTTATTTTGGTCTTTTCTTCTTTTTAACTCATCTGGGAGCAGCTGCTTTATCAAGGGAACTCTGTATTTCTTCCCTTTAACAGGGAATGTTTAAAAGAGGTTGGAGAGTCACATCTTATGGATGGTTTAATTGATGTTTCCTGCATATTGCAAATGGCTAGACTAGATGATCTTCCTTCACAGTTCTATGATTCTATGTTGTTTTCTTTACTGTCACTCTGCAATGAAGTGCCGCACCCTTAAGAGTATTAGTGGAGAACTTCCTTCTACTAAAACAGACAGAAGGTTGATAAATCAAAGAATTAATGTGTGACCAAGAGATATTTCAAAGCATAGTACTGATTTATTAATAAATGTGTTCCTTGTAATTCATATTATTAAAAAAATCTCACAAACTACAACCCAGATGAGCAATTTATATTAAGTAAAACAAGGGTAATGTTGGTATATGTATAGAACTGCTTTAAAAGATTCTTATGGTAATTCCCTACTTTGTGCATGTTTGGAAATGTTTTTAAAAAATAGTTTTGAGAGGTAGAACTGTGTCAAAACCTACAAAGGAAATTCAAAGAAATGGGTTGCAGGGGAAGTTGCATCCCATGCACTTTCTGGATTAGATCCAGATTAAATTATTATAAAATCTTGTGGCTCCAGGAGACAGACATATTTGTAAAAATATCCAAACCAGTGCAGATCCACTATACATATCCATCAACTCACAAATTGGCTCTGGGATAGTCAAGTACTGATACTAGTTATATGTTTACTGATAATCCGAAAGTATTTAGTACAAACCAGTCTGTTTATGAAATAAGACCAAAAATAGCTTTCACTTTTAGCTGAAAAACTCTTGAAAAAAAGAGTGCCTTTCCACATGTTCTCTTGATACCTTAATAAAAAACTAAGGAGCTCAGAGAAATCAATAGCATAGTAAAGTGGAATTGCTAAAATAAAGAACAGGCCCTTGTGTTTTTGCAGAAAACCAAGATAATCAAAATAACTTTATTCACTACAGAAGTATGCTAAAAGTAATGCAAATCAAACATTTCAAACCTTAGAAAGTATCAAAGGAAAGCTTCTGAATTATGGAAAGCCACAGTATTTCACATACTTGTTTCTTTTTAATACAGGTTAATTCCTCACACAAATGCTACATGCAGAATATTAAATCCAGGAGTAAAGGCTTACACGAATAGTAAAAAAGAAAAAAGGGACATTTAAGACAATTTAGTGGCTAGAAGAAAAAAACATCATGTAACCAATTCTGCCATATTTTTAAAACCTACAGCATTTAATAGGAGGACTAAGATGCTTGAAAGATTTGATTCTACACCTTCATTTAATTCCTACTAAAAACTGTGCACAAAGAGGTGACACCTACTGATTATTAAATTGTAATAGGGAAATAAACAAAAGGAATTGTGCATTTTAGAACTCAATACAAATAAGTTTGACTCTGTTGTATGCTGCTGTTTCATGAGGTATCATGAAAGTTCCTAGAAAGCTTTTTCACAGCTGCCAGATTCTGAAGAGATAAAGACAGCCAAGACCGCGAGTCACCTTCTCCCCCATTCTTTCCAGACATCTTCAGAAACAACACCTCAATCTAGGAATAATATGCTGATCTCTCTCATTAATTTATCTTGATGGCAGGTGGAGGTTTATCTGCTTTAAGAACAAATAACAAGTTTAATAAAGTACTAGGGTGGCAAAGACTGTTACAGGTCTGCTTTATGCTACTGATTCATTTTGCTACTTTTTAAAATACTGTACAATTTTGGTACCAAAGTAAACTTAACCTGAGCCTATATGTTGTTTACTTCATAGCATGATTCTAATTGTATGAAGTCGTTTTAATATGACAGCAAAGCTGAGAGGAGGATTTTAACAGAAAGTCCCAATAAATATTACAAGACTACATAATGACAGCTGAAAACTCTGTTTCCACTTAATGCTTAGTGAATCTTACTTCTTTTTTAAACAAAAGTATACCTGACTTAATATAAATAAAAAATAAGGCCTTCCTTTCTCTTGGAGAAGAAAGAGGTGGCTTGATGATATGCCTGTTATTTCTGACCTCAGTCCTAAGCCATAATATGATTTATTTAGTATTGTGTGCAAACTAGGCTACTGTTTCTTCTTCTTATATATAAACTTAGCCACTGACTAAATAACAGTGACTGATTCAGAGATTAAACATATAGTCAGGGCTCATACATGTTAATCCAGGTTTCCCAGAAAATGATTTATTGAATAAAACACAACATATTAAGTCATAAATCATAGCTAATTGACCACAAAAGCTGGATTCATGTAATGTACTAAATCAAAATCAAACAAACCACATTATGGTTTGGCAAAACATAAACATAGATATAATGCAGATCCAAATTGATATATTTGAAAGCAGTAAACAACTTTAAACACATTTATTTTAAATCAATAAAATATAATAAATGAAGTACTTAATCTCTTATAATTTTCCAGCACTTATTAGAAAATGAAGACATAAGTCCTATCAGAGGCCTCAATTATTATGTAACCTCTTAAAATACTGGTTCGTAAGGAGAAACAAACAAATATCAAAACGATCTTTCCATTTTTGTGACATGCTCTGGAATCTATGGTGAACTCCAAATCTATGACTTATAAAGAATAAATCAGCTTTTGATAAAGAAATAAAATATTAGAAAAAACATGAATATTTAACCATATATATTGCACCTAGTAAAATATTTAACACAGTCTTTTATGCTATGACTACATTTACACCATTAGAAATTGTTATAGCAGAAAATGAATATGACCAATTCATTAGCTTCACTCATGAAAGTCTGCAATACTGATAACTACTGAAAATGCTCTTGCTAGTTTCAGCCATCACAATACTAATTTTAATGGAATTTTATATTTTCATCCAAATATATCACTGTTATGGCTTCAGAGTAAAAAAAAAAACCTCTTAATATAAGCAAGTTCCAAAATGAACTCCTATTAAACTCCCATTTAAAATATCCTTCATATAAGGCTGGGGTGCCATGATCATTATTATATAATCTTCCAAACTCCTTCCTAGTCCACCTGCTATTAGAATTAAGTTACCTAAATTTAAGATGTTATTATAACTTTAATGGAAGATGTTATGCAATTTACATTTTGGGGGAAAAAGATAAATAGCAGAGTTTTTATTTTGGATTGGTATTTTTCCCCAAAACAACACCGCAATCAACTTGTCAGTGAAACATGATATGTATAATGCAATATTCTTAATTTTAAATACAAAGATTTGAAACTACTTAACTTCTTTAAAAAAAAAAGAATTAAACAGTAGTAAACTATAGTTAATACAATAAAAATAAACTGAGTGTGAAAAGTTAAGCTCAAATATGCTTTCCTGGAACTAGAAGGGGGCATGAAAGCAGAGGCCCTGCCCAAGGTCACCTAATTAATTCATAGGATAGTGACAGAATGAAGATTTTTCTTCTTATCAACTATTATGAATTTACACACTTCTTTTCTAATGTTTAATATTCTATATTATGCCTCCCCACCTTTTCCTTATACGTTATTACTAATCACATATTCAGAAGGCATGAAAGTGAAATCAGCAGTGAAATACAGTATCAGGCAGAGGTAAGAAAGTTTCTCTAAGATCAAAATCTGAAAGCCGAAATATTATATATATTTGCTAAAAAAAGCACAGAATTATGCAATTCAGCATAAGCTGTCATCTATTTTTCTTGTGTACTTCAGTACTATAAATCAGTACTGTTTCCTGATCTTTAAATTGACATATGGAACATAAAGAACAATAATCAGATTAGGCAGGTGATCAGGATGATCAACCAAGATACTAGGACAGAAGCACATTCCTTTTAGGTCATGGTATGGTTATAAACAAAGAAGCTGCAGTGAGTTTAATAAGGTTAATGAAAGATTATTTCTGGTAGTAATAGCTGATTTAGACCCTCTTTCAAAAATTAATTTTAAATAAGATATGTTCATTTACAAGGAACTCCTACTACATTTCCTGAATCTTACTCTCTAATAAGCATTAGGAATACAGTTTTAATTGATGTCACAATGCACATTTTGCCATTTTGGCATCATCATGGTTAAG